TAATGCTAACATTCAGTATCAGTGAAAAGAAAATAAATGCACAAATACTGTAGTGTGAAATACTACACAACAGTGAGAATAAATCAGATATTAAAAATAGCATGTGTTAAATTCAGTATAAACTAGAAAATTCCCAGTACAGAATTTTGTTTTATTTTTGTTTATTTATTTATTTGGGTTTTTTTGAGACGGGGTTTCCCTGTAACAGCACTGGCTGTCTTGGAAGTCAGAGATCCACCTACATCTGCCTCCTGAGTCCTGGGATCAAGGCGGGGTAGCCCATTAAGTGGTAGGATAAAAGGTGTGTGCCACCACGCCTGGCAAAGATTTATTTAGTTTCAAGTGGGGTTGATATTTTGCCTGCATGTATGTTTGTGTGAGGGTACTAGATGCCCTGGAACTGAAGCTACACACAGTTGTGAGCCATGTGGGTGCTAGAAATTGAACCAAAGTCCTCTGGAATAAGTCAGACAGTGCCCTTAACTGCTGAACCATATCTCCAGCCCAAAAAGGATTTTAAGTAAATGGTTATAACATTTGCTGAGAGAGAGAGAGAAAAAAAAAAATAGGAGACCTACTCTCAATTCCACAACTGTAACAACTTGGGACCTGTTACTTCATTAGCATATTCTTCTCAATTTTCTTCACATGAAAAATCAGACTTTTACTTATTTAAAAAGCAAACAGAAACCCCAAATAAGATTTTAGACATACTTAATGAAACATGAAAAAAATCAAGTACTATAAGGAGAATGAGCTTTCTTCTACTATCTGAACTTGCTAACTCCATTTCTCTTTGTTTGAAATTTTTTATATTTTTGAGCATTCCATACACAAGTACTGTGGTAACATCATTCCCACCTCTCCCTCTAACCTACTCCCCAATCCTATTTCTGTATAGGCCTTGGCAAATACCATCTATAGCTAAATACAAGCAAAATGCCTTTCAGCAAAAATTATATTTCCATAAAGAAGTTCAAAATACTTTGGTCACCATGAAGAAACTGCTAATTGTCACAGAAACACTGCTGATTGTCTCAGAAACTAGCACAAAGTAGCAGTCATCTAATTTAAAGAGTTACTGGCTTATTAACTTAAACGAGAAATTATATCCAACTTATATTGACATTTTCTATCTGAAGTATGTTATGCAGTATTGTGATTTATCTCATAACTACACCAGAGTATGTTCAAATTCTCTCAACCCTGGAATAAACTTGAACAATGAAGTAATCACAACTATTAAGCAATGCAGTTTCCCAGACATTTTACAAGTTTATACAGTAAAATAATTATATTATTTCCTCCTAAGTCTCATAAAATTTTTGTGTACACTGGGCTCAGTGTAATCTAATTAAGGCAATGAAGTACAAAGTAAAGCTAAAGAGATGAATTAATATGGGAATATGGAATGATAAAAATGGTGTAAAATAGGAACTTTGCACACTCAAAAAGTAACTTTACTAAATCTTTTTTGAAGGCCATGGTGTCAAGAAGGGGTAAAATTAGCCCAATTTTAATTAAAAATACAATATAAATAATAGCTAATGGTATCTTGAAAAATACTAATATTAAATTGAAATAAAAATAAGATTGCAGAAAAAAGAATTCTTAAGATCAATTACTTTGGTTATATAAAATCATTGCAAAGCAAAAAAAAAAAAAAAAAAACCCAAATACCTCAACAACATTAGAATACTATTAAATACATTAATCATGTTATCTTTACATCAGACCTAAGATAGGAAAAGATACATCTTGAGACATGGAAGTTGTCTTACTTACTTTTCTATTGCTGTGCTAGGACCCCATGGCCAGAACAAATGGATACTCACAGCTTCAGAGGGCTCGAGTCCATTGTCATCATAGGGAGCATGGCAGCAGGCAGGCACAGCTCATTGGAACAGTAGAGGACAAACATACCTCTACAGTTACTTGGTTAAAAGTAATAAAGCCATCTATAAACTAAACACAAACTAGAAATGAAGCTTTTAGAGTCGAATTAGAACTAAATAATGTAAGTAAGCCATCAAATGAAAGAGGTAGGAAAAGCGAAGGGAGAAGGGAAAATTTTAAGCTACACTCTTGAAGTTCTGTTTTATCACACAGAATTTACTCAGAAAATAGGATTAAAAAATGATCTGACAAAACTGCCAGCTTTACCATCATATGTGATACGAAGCCCAGATTTTTTTAAAAAAAAATTAGTAAGATCACTGGATCGTTCAACAAAATTGTAAATTCTGAAAGTTTAACGAACAGAATTAGCTTTCAGTAAAATGTCAAACACGCTGTTAATTACCAGACTTAAGGCAAAAAGAAACACAGAATGCTTCAATATTTGATATAAAAAATGACAACTGTCCACTTTATTGTGGTCCACTTTGCCTGTTTATCTTTCTATTCCCAGTAATAATACCCTTTCATTGTGTCCTCCTTGAAAATGAGCTCTCACCCCTCAGCCCTGACTGGGATGGGAAGTTATCAAACTCAGGGATCTATGTGAGAGAGGAGGCCGAAGGACTGTAAGAAGCAGAGGTGGCAAAGGATTTCAAGAAAACAGCATCTTCCATACACAACAGGACTGATGCACATGTGAGTACAGAGGCTGTCACAGCACACACGAGACCTGCACAGTTCTCCCCAGACAAGGCCCAGCAGAATGGAAAAGGGGTGGGCACAAAGTCCCACCTCTAACCAAGAAGCTCACAGAGGGAAAATCAGAATGTCACATGTTATATCAACCACACTCCAGAGCAGGCCTCATGCAAAGAAGTGATCAATACAAAATGGATTTCATGTTTTTATGTATACTTCTTTGTTACAGCTTATTGGCTTTTGTTTTGTGTTTTCTTTAATTTTCTTGGTTTTTGAGAGAGAACATGAATCAGGTGGGGATCTACGAACTGAGAAGACTCAGAGAAGAGGAGGCATATGAGCAAAATTTTTTTTAAGTAATGAAAAAAATCAACAAATATAAACTTATCTATGACATAAAGTATTCCTCACTTCTATATTAGTTATATAAGGCACAACTGAATGAGCTAAAGCAAAGGTAAATAGGTGCCAACAGCAGTACAGTGGTAGCCTTTCCCAAAAGACAGCCACCAACCACATTGGCTGAGGTAAAACAAACAAAAGATAAATAGTGGCCCATCATAAAATTGTTTAGGAAAAAATGACAACTTTAAAGATATTTTATATCAAGTGAAAGTGCTGCTCAACAGGCAGTATACAGGCTATCAGAACCCAGGAAGGCTCCACTCGAGAGTTGCCTATCCTGGCCAATAACGGCTTCAAAACTGTCTTAGATAAGATAACAAATTCATAGTCATCATAGCAATGGTAATATTTCATATCACTAAGTGAACTAGGATTTCATGATATATTATCTGAATAATTAAAACTTTGAATTACCCTACCCTGCTTGCTATGGCATTCACACCAACCCACACACAAACTGTTGTTGTTGAATTCATCTGTTGTCTAATGGATTTGGTGTACCTATTTAAGAACCAGGATGGAGATCTCCCTGTTTGAAGATAGCAAATAGAGTTAGAGAAACCCTTTCCCATAAGCCTCATACAAACTGACACTTTTTTTTACTCTATGAGACTCCCAAGAGTTGTTTAAATAATTACATGTGATTTAAAAACTGTACTGAACTGGACATGGTAGTATATGTCTTTGATCCCAGCACTTAAGAGGCTAGGACAGGAGGATAAGAAGTCCCAGGCCAGCCCGGGCTAGATAGTGGAACCCTGTCTCAAAAATAAGTAGCTGTGTTAGAAGCTGAAATGATTACTTTGTCCTGTTTATGAACATGTTAAAATGCTTGTGTCCTGTATTAAGGCTTGATTTAATAGTATGTGGACATGTATGTAAAAACCTAACCACCAATTATCCTTTTAAAAATATGTGTCTAGTCCTAACAATATTATAGTATTCTTATGGACAAATCATACTGGAACAAACAGAGCCCTGGGAATGCCTTGAGGTTCACTGTCAAAGATGTGATCTTTGTATTGATTATCTGACAGGTAAATACATAGGATCTCAGAGATATAAGTATGCAGTTTTGTTCAATTCTATGCATTAAAAATATCCAATCAGAAAATACAAGTAGTTCAAGTTATTTGTCTACCATTCAAAAAAGATAATTGGGTGTAACACAAACTGAACAAGCTAAACCTGTAAAAAAATATGACTAAATAAATGTAGAACAATCTCCAGCTAAATACTGTATTATACTATCTCTCTTTATATAAAAATAATAGGTATAGAAAGGCCCCCTTGAGCTAACTAAATGATTCCTAATCCCAATGCCCCCCACTTACGTTCAGCTATATGACAATAAAAAGCTACTTAACATTTCCAACTCTCTATTTCCTCATCCTTAAAATAAAAAAAAAAAAAAAAAGAACGAGAATTACAATCACAGTGTTACTTCATTGGGAAAGTCACGAAATCTAACTAAAATATATGGGTAGCATATGGTAAGAACTGAATAATACTATCTATAATAGGCTATATTAGTATCTCTTTTCAAATACAAGCTTTTGGTGGTTTTTTTCAAGACAAGGTTTCTCTGTGCACCAACTCTAGCTGTCCTAGAACTTGTTCTGTAGACCAGATTGGCCTCAAACACACAGAGATACGCCTATCTCTGCCTCACACGTGCTGGGATTAGGCATGTGCCACCACCACCAGCTCAAACACAAGTTCTTATAATTATCTGACTGTCAGAATAAATTCCCAGATGCCTGTGCTTCAGTAATTATATATACATGTGTATCATCAAAGGAATGATCACTTGTACAATCAGTTAGTAGTCTATCAATAGGTGTTAATAATGATGCACCTTCAGTAGATCACCATGACTGCTAACACATACTTCATTCAGAAATGCAGAGTGCACTGATATTTCAATAGTATTTTCATAAATAAAGTTTGCCTGAAGATTAGAGAGTAAAACAGCCACATTGGTCAGCCTTGCATACCAGGCAGTGGTGACACACATCTTTAATCCCAGTAGTCACATTAATTTGTCACAGAAACCAGGAGTTCATGGTGCACATCTTTAATCCCAGCCCTAGAGAGGAATATAAAACGGGAGGAGACAGCTCTCAGTCAGTCTCATTCTGAGATTCCTGGAGGCAGGATCGCATTTCAGACTAAGACAGAGGTAAGAGCCAGTGGCTGGCTATTTTGCTTTTCTGACCTTCAGGTTGAACCCTAATATCTATCTCTGGGTTTTTATTAATCATGCTACAGGAGAATGCAACATTTTTCTTCAAAAGACCACACAAGTATATTAAAGAACATTTTAAAATGGAATTCCATATCCAACAGTATATGAAGCTCTTTTCTATAGAATAGAAAAGCCAGATATGTCTGGTATACACACTTCTAAATACATGTTTCATAAATCACTGAAGAACATTTTTCAAGACAAGCATAAAAAGATATTACTGAAGCATTTTAATTAAATATTAATATATGGAATCTTTTGAGGGAAGAGTTTGGATATATGTGCATAATCTACAATTCTGTAATAGAACCTACCTAGAGGAGTCACAGTGTTCTCAACTTTAGAGATACAGGGCAGCTTCTTTCCAAGTGTAAAAACTGTAATGAGCATAGTGAGGAAATGAAAACCATGCTGCAGACATGGCACGCCTTTGTTCAAGTGACTACTTACATACTCATCAACTACTAAAGGAAAACTCTGATAATTACCATTATGAAACAGGATCAGAAGAAGAAATTATATTCATTGTTTAATAACAGAAACCAATCCAACTTATTAGAATTATTTGTAAGATGAAGTAAATAAATGTCATTATGAGAGATAGAAATTTATATAAGTATCTTGCTGTTTTCCAAATGTCCATATACTCAACTTTAAGCAAAGAAGGGATCCAAATCTAAGTTGCAATTCAATTCTATGAACTTTGCCAAAAGTATTCCAGGGGTAAAACAGACTTGTCAGTAAAATTAAATAATTCCATCATTTATTTCAAAACAAGAAATGCAGACCTGCCTTCAGAGAGACAAAAAATAATGTCAAGTTACAGTTTTGTTTACATATGAAACACTATCATTAATCAGCAAGTGATTCACAGTGACCACATACACAATACCCTGACACTTCACCACCTAAATGATGAAACATAGCTAAAATCTTATCATTGACATAAAATACCAACAGAGTAAAAATAAAAAGAAGTTCATGGCACTGGAATGAATGTACTCTCTGCCTTAGAACTAATACTTTAATTTTCAAGAACCACAAAGAAAAAAAATCAAAACTAGTCAGTAACAATGCAGCGTCTAAAAGCAATAAACTCAAAATTAAGTTATAAATAATTTAAAACATGTCATGAAGATGTATTAATAATTCATCAGATAAATAATTTACTAAATAATCAAATAAATAAATAATGAAATACATAAATAAATCAGCAAATAAATAATTCTACAAAATAACCTAAACAATAAGCCACCCAAACAAATCACAACCTATAAAACTACAATGACTTTCTGGATTCTGATAGTTTTAAATAAGCAAATGTACACAGAATATATCAATCCTTGTTAGAATTAGAAATATTTTTCAATGCTATTGGAAAATTCCTCATCTTAATACATGAGAACACATTTTCAATTTTTAAAAGCAACACGGGACTAGGCCTTATAAATTATTAAGATGATTATAATATCCACCTCTATATTTTGCATGTATCTTTAGCATATTTTCCCTGAAACAAATGGACATGAAATATTCTTAAACTTCTTTTTCAAACGAATACTTACAGTATCACAGCACTTCAACCTTTCTGCCGTTTTCCTCTCTTCACCCAGCCATCAGAACCTCTCTGCAGTGGGACAACAATAAGAAAAGCCTTAGTGTGACTGACAGCACTTCACTCACATACAATCCGTATCTATGAGTCCACAAAATAGTGGGGAGTGGACCGCAGTAGACAAACTGCGTCAAGTTTTAGAAATTCAGCCTCAAAGCTGAGCTTCCTCTATTGGAGCTGACACACAAGCTGTAACAATTTGCAGGATTTCAGATTATGACGACAAAACCTTACAAAGACAAAGCAACTGATTGACATCTAAAGTGTCCTTAAATTTGAGAACCTCAAAGTCTTGAAAAGTACACAATGAGATCACCTAACTGTTACAAACTGAATTTAGTCACAAACTAATTAGCATAAAGGGATCAAACTACTAGGGAGACAAATATAGTCTTCACTAAACATTTTCTAAAGTTTCTCATGTACTCCATATACAGCATTCTTGAAATCTTTCTGATTTGTCTATAAAACTTCAGGACTGTGTTGGATCTATGTTCTTCACTTAGGTAACACTGAAGATATAAACATTTTTAGAAACAGTACTAGAAAGAGTAAAATGGTGATAAAATGGTTCTAATTGTTCAGCTATCAAAAAATTTTCCAAAATTCTAAAACATTCTGTCATATAATATATATACAGCTTTTAATGTTTTATATTTTTCCTTTAACACTATCAAAAATTTTCTGAGACAATATTTATTATTACAGAAATTACTTGAGCGCTGAAGAGACGGTTCAGTGGTTAAGTAGGGCACAGCTCTTCCAGAGGAATACAATTTCATTCTCAGCACACAAAACAGGCAGTTCACAAACACCTACACAACTCCAACTCCAAGGACCCCTGGCCTTTTGAGGCACCCCCACTCACAGGCACATATACCCACACACAATTAAAAATAATTTAAAAACTATTAAAAGCACTTGTGATAGCTATCCTCGCTTGTCAAACTGGCTATATTTGAAATGAACTAAAAACCAAAAGGCAGGGTATACTGTGAGGGATTTTTTTTTTCCTTAATTAAATCATTTGAAGTAGGAAGACCCACTTATAATTCAGATCTTCTGAGTTGGGAAGACCCACTTTTAGTCTTGGCCACACTTTCTGCTGGCAGCCTGTATGAAGGACATGGAAGAAGAAAGCTTGCTTGCTGTCTTTGCCTGCTTCTTCTCTTTCTCACTGGGGAGTCCATTCCTTCACTAGCAACTGAGCCTACTTCAGGATTATGGCATATGCCGAACATCAGCTGGTGAACTGGACTTGGAAGGGGTGAAAGTCACACCCCTTCCAAAGAAAAAGAATAACAACAACCAAATAATAATTAAACAACCAAAGTCCAGAAGTGACTAATCAAAGGCTGATTCCAATATCCTCTTCTGACATCTGTGGGTACCATGCATGAATGCAAGTGGTAACAATACAGACATGCAGGCAAAACACCCATAAAATTAAAAAATGTTTTAAATTAAATGAAATATAATTAGTTCATTATTACTAAAGAATACAAGAGAGAAAAGAAAGTATACACAATATTCAAATAGACAATGGTATAAATTTTTCCAGACTAATTAAAGATATATATGAATGGTCTGAGAAGGAAAAGGAGACAAGAAATGATCTATGAAAATATATGGGTAACTATCAGTTTCCAGATTATATTTGTTACAATTACTCTACCAAACACACAGGCTAGCATTTTCTTTCTTGAATGTACTCTAGAGGAAAAATAACAGGGTCAAGTGGACTTAGTAATGAAAGTTATTAAAGACAAAATTTCAAGATTTAAAGGTTTCCTCTCACAGTGGGAATATCTTGTCCCTACTACAAAAACTATGCTATTTTATTAAATCAAAGTTAATTTTAGCATGCAACTTTATAAAGTAAAACATTTTATGATGCTGGGAAGTAGTTCATGAAAAAAACTTCTGACCATTAAAGCACAAAGACTTGAATTCAAATCCCTAGTATCACTTAAGAGCCAAACAAGCAGCACGCATATCTGTGATCCCAGCACACCAACAGGAAGACAGAAGGTAAAGGCAGGAAAACCTCCAGAAGTCTGCTCATGCAGAGTCGGCAGATGGGAAAACCAATGACAGGCCGTGTCTCTCATGAGGCCCTGGACCCAATTTTGTCTTCCGGCCATCACACACACTGCAGCATATGTACATTTCTGTTTACTCATACAAACGTGTATACGATTATCTAACACATACTGTACAAATGAAACATTAAAACTGTATCAGTCTAGTCTACAAGCGAAGTAGAAAAAGACAAGATCTCCTGAGTAAATTGGGAGCTTGGGGATCATGGGAGAGAATATACCATGAGCCTCACACATGCTGGGCAAAGCATTCTACAACTGAGCTATATCCCCAGCCTGTTTTTTTCTCTTATTGTCTTTCTTTTTTATTTTGGTTTTTAAAATTTTTTATTTAATTGGCCAGGCTAACCTTCAACTTCTGAACCTCGTGCTTCCCCCACCCAAGTACCCAGAATTTCAGGGCTGAACCACCACCAGCTTAAGTACTTCTCAAACATTCCAAGAAACGTTTATTTTTCAATGGTTAATTCTTAAAATTTACTATATATTATTTACAGAATATCTGCTAACTTTATCTTCTTTTTTCTAAGCAATTAAGAACTAACACTAGTGTTAAGCTGTAAATATTAGCAAGAAAATCAAGTGGAAATAGTTCATGCCTTGTTCTCACCTAATTATAAAAATTATCTTAAAAGGTTATGTAACATTTCAAATTCTATATAGTTAAAATCATAACTATTCCTAATTATATATCTGAACTTAAATTATAATAAATTAAATATTCTGGATTTAAACATCATTATGAATTTTACAATTAAGTCATTCTTATAATTTATATAAAATCTTTTATAAAAAAATTAGATCTAAAATTCTAACACCTTTTTGTAAATAAAGTCATTAATTTTCAGTCATCCTTTGATTAGATTGACATTTATATGTAAAGATATATAGGTTATTATTTTTGGTTTTAAGTTCCGCCTAACAAGTATAAATAAAAATCATTAACTAAAGGTTATTTAAAGTTTTTCAATTTAAATTAGGCTTCCTAAACTTAGGATAATTTTTGGTAAATGCTTTTTATTTAAAAAGTATAAACTGCCATATAATTATAAATGCAATTTAAATCTGTTACTTAATTTGATATAATTTAAATCAAAGAAATAAAGAATAGTTATTATAACTTTTAATTAGACTACATTTGAAATAGTTATTTTTATGTCACTTTAAAAATGTGTGAAATTTTTTTAAAAAAAGATTGTTTTAAAAAATAAAAGAAAAAAGAAAAGGTAAAGTTATATACCATTTCCACTTCATTTTACTGTCAATGTTTTATTTTATGTTAAAATTAATCCTTGTGTTCTAAGAGATGGCACTGAACTCAATTTCACTACTCAATAACATTTGTAAATTTGCTATAGTCAAGTGAAGCTCATTAAAAAAATGCTAGTCAACAAGAGCTCTAGGCATAGTTTACAAATAAAGTTTCTAGAGTCCTTAAGAGACTGAATTTAACATCCTGGATGGTTACTGACTGAACTATTAATAATCAAAAAATTTACAACAAAAGTTGATATAAAAATATTTAAGTAAAAGAAATATTTCACAGTCCACTGTAGAAACTATGCTTTCAATATTTCACTACACAAAAATCAGATAAACGATGTAGTTTAGCAATTCTGTATACTGGCTCTCATCTATGTGAATAAACACAAATCTAATGGCTCATGTGACTCAGTGTGGTCCACTCACAACTCATTTGTAAATGCTACATCAATAAGAGAAAGACTCATCTGTTCAAAGAAAGCAGGACAATTCCTATACAGGAAGAAATGGGAAAATATAAGTATGCTATGCTAACTCGGGTATCAAATTTACTAATGAGCGTTTTCAGGTTGAAAAATTTAAATCTATTTTTAAATGCACATAATACCATTCTAATACCCATGTTTTCATCAATAAAAATTTATACTAAACACAATTCATATTATGTCTTCTAATTTAAATAAATACAAAAGACTATCTGTTCATCTCTGTACATTATAAAAGAATAAACTGAAGCCTGTTTACAACCTCTAGGACAGTGGTTTCCAACCTGTGGATCACCTAAAGCCATCAGAAAACAAAGATATTTACATTACCATTCATAACAGTAGCAAAATTACAGTGAAGAAATAACAATAAAAACAATTTTATGTGGGAGTCAGCACAACATGAGGAACTGTAATATATGGTCGCAGCAGCATTAGGAAGGATGAGAACCACTACTCTTAGGATCACCTCAATACTAACCACTCCCCTAACTGGTAGGTAAGTTCATTTCTCATTTTTTATTTACACATACAACAATGTGTTTTATATTTTCAATTATCATAAATGGTATCACATTAAAAGTATTTAATGCTTTTAATTCAATAGTAGTTTTAAGATCGACTGGTACATCAATCTACTTCATCTTAATTATAAAGTACTGGGCCATATATCGCTATATTTTATTTATTCATTCCCCCACAGGTTCTCATTTTTCACTGTTACAGTGTTTAAACAAACATCCTTGAACAAGTGTGTGTGTGTGTGTGTGTGTGTGAGAGAGAGAGAGAGAGAGAGAGAGAGAGAGTGAGAGAGAGAGAAAGAGAGAAAGAGAGAGAGAGAGTGAGAGAGAGAGAAAGAGAGAAAGAGAGAGAGAAAGGAGTTTCTCTTAAGCAAGTAGAGCTTAGGAGCCACATTTGCTAGTAATGATTCCTGTGGCTTGTCCTATAAGTTACACGTAGAAACTTTAGCAATAGCTCTGACTTCTATCTAGTAGATGTCATTAACACTTACCATGTAAGACAATCAAAAATGTTTCCATATACTGCCAGATGTCCCTCAGCTGTAAAACAGCCCACTTGAGAATCACTGTCCTAAAGTCACTGAGTGTTCCAAACACCCAAGAACTCAGAAGACAGTATGAAGAAAAAAAAAAAAAAAAAC